ATTTTCAGGTATCAAACAACGTGTTGAGCATATTTGAGCCAATATCAATTGTAGTGATCACAAGCGTAGAATTAAGATTATTTGGACCGTTATTTTCCATCCTATGGCGACTTTTCACCGACCACCATCTCTGTGTTATATTGAAGAAGCTTATCAACACGAACGAAGTGCTAAGAAATTTGAACATTGAAGTTACGATTAACGTCACGGATTTACGGACATTCTTGGTCGGCTTCACGATACACTTCATAATTTACATCGTATCATTGAGTGGGTATTTTCGGGTAACCCCGGACTATAGCTTTTTGAGTTGGGTGAGTACGACTCCCATTACGCTTAATTCATAAAAAAAACAAAAAAATTAAAAATGAAGAGAAATATTTCTCGTTAGGGTAGCATGAGTGCTTTTCCTTTGTCGCTATTTTTTAATATATTTATAAAGTTATCATATTAAAATTTCTACTAAAAAACGAAATATTTATATACCACACAAATTCCTAGTTAGATATAAGCCAGATATTCATTTAATCTGAAAAACAACGGGTGGACGTTAAAAATAAAAAACGATCATCGATAATCACGAAGAGAAATTTTAAGATTTTATCCACGTACTGGACAAAAAAAAAAAAAACCAAATAATTTACTTTATTATCGATATTAAAATGTCAGATGAACAGAATTGAACATTTATCCAAGGCTTTGCACCCAAATGATTTATTCAGGTTTCAGGTTTCTGGTGTTCAAACATCGCAATAAAACATTTAAATAATATTAAATAAATAAATAAATAAATAAATAAACGTTTAGGTGCTAATAACCGTTATAATTCGGGTTAATATTGGTTAATACGGGTATTAAGTAGCCAAGGAAAAATCTTATTTTTCATTGGTGTAGCGGCGGAGGCTAAACCCCCTTCCCCCACTAATGACATTTTTATATTTTTAATCAAAGCGCTAGCCCTGGAAGAATCCAACATCTCAATTTTGTTGAAAAAGCGTTTTTAAGTTCAGGAGACGTATAAGAATCTACTATATGATTCACTTTTGACTTTTTAATGTTATCAGAACTTTTGAAAAACAATTTTCTTGGTCTACCAATGGTATTAAATTTTATATTGGTATTTAATGAAGGTAATCGGAATTCTATTTGAAGCCAATCAGCATTTTTTTTTAATGAATTTATTTAAATTTCTGTTACTTACAGCTCATTTTCTTGATAAAACTACTGAGAAACTTAATATTTTATCTTTAATAATTTTCTCGTATTCTTTATCTCACTTATCACCACCATACTTAATTTTAATTATTTCCAGTAAAATCGTCCTAAAAGTATTATTTTGTGGGTTTAAATTTCCTCTTTGACGCAAAAATTTAAAAAGAACTTCATACGTATAATCATTAAATCCTCCGTGATTTGTACCTGCTAAAATAAGTATAAATTTAAAATAACTACCATGTTATAATTATAATTAAATGTATACAAACCTTTACATTTTTGATCCATTGCACAAAATGTTTAAGTAACACAAATTTTAATTTTTTACAAATATGAGACAATATCACTTAGATTGATTCCACTTTAAAGTGAAAATACTGTTGTACTACAAAATATACTTATCACTTATAGCTGAATCGTGGCGATAAAGATGCGATTACGATTATTAATAAATTTAATAGGCCGTCGTAGATATGGAGTTAGGTGAGTTCAGTGAATCGTCTTGTCGTGCGAGCTTTGTGAATATTTTTATAAAAGTCTCATTTGGGTTATATGGGTTTTGGGTGTTTAATTTTGTAAGGGTTTTTAGGGATGTTACGGGTTCGGGTTAATTCGGGTGCAAAGCCCTGCATTTATGTAGTGGTGGTGGTGGTAAAAAGGATTGTAAATGTATACATTTTTATTTAGTTCAGAAAATGAAATCAATATTATTTAAATAAATGAAAACCATCGTAAGTACATGATGTACCATCAATAATCACTTAATATCATTATATACTTACCATACAATATTGGTCTGAGGGAAAACTGAATGTTTATTACCGAAATTAGGCCAAAATTAAAACCGGTAAGACTTATTAATTTTATATTTTTTCGGGAAGTGTTTGAGCCTTGAAATTACATGTAGTATATCCGTGAATTTTCAAAACTATGCTGAGAGTAAGAGGGTGTACACTTAGTATGTCCTAAGGATGGGCAAAAAACAACGATGTTTTAGCTCGAAATATCGATGTTTTGACATAAATGATTTGTTTTCAATTAATCGATTAAACATCAATGTTTATGTTTAAAGTTTTTTTTGTTTATATTATATCAGTATGTAGAATACAACAATCGTTAAACAGCATATACTATAAAGCTATAACAGGGCTCGTAAGTTCATGTACTAAAAACCACAAAAATTAGCATTTTCTAATATTTGATCAAATATGCATTAAAAACCTTATCTATATATGAAAAAAATGTATAAGCATTTTTTAAAATAATAAGAATCATTCATTCATATTTTTAAAAGTTATATTTTTTCTTCGGTTAGATTTTATTAATATTATAATTAATGAAAACACGTCGCGACGAAAATAAATAGATTGCAATGGACACGTCAATAGGAGAAGAGTGGTTGTGATGCGCAATAACATTGTTTCCATGGTATGATTCTATGTTATAAAACTTAATGTCATAAAAAAATAAATATATTGATAAAATACTAAGATTTTATAAACAAGTTCGGAAAAGTAAATAAGAACGAATTCAAACATTTATTGATCTATTTTTTTTTTTTTTGACTACCACGAAAAACAATACTGCTGAATTTACATAAAATAATATGCTCTAATAACTCAAAAAAATCAACTATGCCAAGTATGCCAATACACATAAAACATGCAAAAACATACTTTATTAAACTTTAGATTTTTATTACCATTGTATGAAATGGATTTTTATCTCAATTAGCATATTTTCCGATGTAGCAAAGAAAACATGCAAATATATGAACTTAAGAGCCCTGATTGTAAGTATTTAATATGTATTTAAAAAAATATAAATTAAAAAATAGTATTTTAACTTTTGAATTTATTATTTAATCTGGAAAATAGTACACTGTACAGATAATAAGGTGTGTAACAGATTGCAGTTTTAGAGGGAAATAAAATGTTTTCGAAGTTTTTAAACTTCGATATTCTTAAACATCGATGGTTTTTTCATAGACATCGAACACAACAATATTTTAAAAATCGATGTATCGATACATCGAATATCGATGTTCAAACAATTTTGCCCATCCCTAGTGTGTTTTATGGGAACATCACTAAATGTACACCTATGGTGACTTCCTTGCGACAATTTTTTAAATTAAATGCCGATAATTTTAAAATTTCTTTTTTCCAGGGCATGTGGTCGCTTGGTTTTTTGTTTAACCGTTTCTTGTTCTACGAGTACATCGCGCTAGTGACGTGTGTACAGATAATGGTGAGCAAGATGAACGATGAACTGTCCAAGGGATCGGTACCCATCGGCGAACTGGGAGCGCTGCACACGGTCGTCTTGGACGATCTGGAGTACATGAACCGGTTCATTCTCGGGTTGCCCATGATAGTCAACGTCATCGCGAACAACATGTCGACCGTAATCTACTTGCTGTATCACTACGTGATTTTCAAGGGCTTGTTCATCGCGTCGGAGGTGAACCTGTTCGTCCCGGTCTTTGACGTGGCACTCAAGCTGTTCGACATGGTCCTGTTGTTCTCGTTCTGCAGGGCTGTCGAGATAGAGGTAATTTGTTTCGTGCGAATTTTAAAACTTACGGCACAAGGCCTAATTTGAACATAAAAATAAACCTGTGCTCTGTTTTTTTGTTTTTTTTTTCGTTACACAAGCATAATATTTATATGTGCAAACGGTTTCTAACGTGCCTGTTAGAACGGTCGAATATAATGTTCCAAGAACATCGTTGTGGAGTAGGGATTTCATGGTAAATCGGTAGTGATGGGCATAAGCTGGGCCCGGGTTAGGGTTAACCGTTTGAAATGATTTTTTAAGTATTATTGCGTAAATAGAACATATCATTAATTTCGGGGTCTAGTTTCTATTACAAAGGTACTGTACTAATATAAGGAGAGTAAAGGTGAGGAGTCAAAATGAAAGTCAATCTGTTACCCGTAATCCACTTGGTTTTTTTTTTTTAATTACTGTGTTACGGTGCTATTGCTACTAATATATATTTTCCTTTATTCGGCCCGCCCTGAGTAAAATTCCTGTTGCCGCCACTGATAATATTAACACTTGATAAATTGGTTGTTTCGTAAATTTGTCGTTTAGAACAGCGTTTTTTAAACTGTACTCCGCGGAACTCTGGGGTTTCGCGAAGATCACTTCAGGGTTCCGCGAAGCTTAAGTAATTTTTTAAAAAACTTTAAGAAAATTACTTTAAAATTTCCAACTTAAGATTAGTAATGTTGAAAAACTGTTTGCATTATAGAAAAAAAAATCTTTGTATATTAAATAACATGTATAAGCGATATGGAATAGTCTACATTTATATTTAGTCTAATTAAAGTTATTATTATTAAAGTATTATTATTATATATGTAGATATTTTTTATTATTTTAATTTTAAAACATTTTTGAATAAAATACCTTTAACATAATATTATTATATGATTATAATTTATTTACGAAAATCCCAAAAAAAAGCTAAAAATATAGTAGGGGTTCCACAGATAAAAAAGTTTAAGTAACGCTGATTTAGAAAATTAGTCGTTTTCATAATAATATATATACATGTATATTATGTAAAAAAATAAAATAATATTTTGTCATAGATCTATAAATCATATTAAAAAAAACAATTATTATATATTAATTAAATTTATTATTTCATATATATATATATATAAATTCATTATTAAATTATATGCCTGATTATTAAAAATAATATGTGTAAAAATATTATGCGTGAAAATAATTATAAGTTATGACCCATTCCAGATATATATTCATCAAATGTTCTATTATTATATGTTTTATATATTAGTTTATATAAATATATAATATATAATATACTAGAAAGATTAAATTATTGTTTGTATTACCTCTGAAGCAATAGTTGCCACAACAAATCAATTATTGAGTTCAGTTTTTTTAACAAGCTACTTTAAATTTCCCATTGTTCTTTTAGCTTCGATTTTGACAACATCAGACAAATTATCATGTGATGTTTTGGCGAAATCACTTAAAATGAAATATTTATCTGAATGTATACTGGCTTTACATTTCTTTTTAAATTTTTAACGCACTTCAATATAGTTTTTTCATTAGTTTGATTTTCAAAATGATATAAGTAAACATCATGCACGAGCATATTTTTCTTCTTTTAATACATTTTTAAGTTATATTAATTATTATGTTTTATATGAACTATCATATAGCACTAGTACACTACACTGTCCTTCACAGTCAACTGAAATTTGTGCAATGAGTATTATAAACTATAGATTACAATATATAACAAATAAATAACACTGGATAATATTTACTATCATAATATAAAATAATCGATATTGATAATACTAGTTTTATATTTGTGAACGTTGTTTTCAACTTTCTATCGCAAACCGTATACTAATGATTATTGCCCATTTGAACCTACATAACGTTCAGTATTTTCGTTTTGCGACGTAAATATACTTCAACCATTTACCAAACGACCAATTTTAAACGACTAATTGACGTAAACTCAAAAATAAATAATTATGAAAATGGCAATGGGGGGGGGCTTCAGGTTGTTTTACCCCCTCTCTACGTATGCCATTGACCGATGCTATAATTGTGTTTTCCTCCTCGTGCTTACAGGTAAACCGGACGACTTTGGTCTTACAACAACGGTTAATAATGGAAACGGATCAGAAAGTTCGCCGAAAGGTAAATCTTTAAATTATTTGTAGATCGTTTCGAATTAATTTTTCTTCGTTCGGTTTTTCAGATAGCATTTTTTTCGTTGCGAAGATTGCACGCAGACTTTCATTTCACGCTGTGCGGATTTTACAAAATTAACTACAGGCAACTATTATTGTTATTATCTAAGGTGATAACGTTTCTCGTTATACAAATTCAATTTAAAAGACACCGTTACTCTGAAGCATCCGAATAACGTTTTATAGATTAACAATAGAACATTTTGATTTTGCATGAATTATCATAAAAAATAAAAAATGTGCTTTTCACAACTATCATCACAATCTTTCGAGTGTTTCATTTATATTTTTTATATTTTATTATATTTTTCATTTATAGCCATAAAATATGTGTTTCTTTTGTGTATTAAAATAAAATTTATTAATATTTTTTTCACTTGCATTGACTATTGGATAACTTAGTTTTATAATTATTGATAATAATTACCTAGGCTTAAAACCTATTTTTATATATGAAGTGATCGGTTCCCATAGTGCCTGAAGTCTTTTAAATACCGGTAATAGCTCAATCGTTATCATATATTATAGAGATGGGCAATTCAAAGTTACTAGAGGGCCAATTTTAAGAAAATTGAAACCTAGCGGGCTAGAGTATGGTAAGCAAAAAAAAAAAAAAATTCAAAAGATGTATTTTAATTACCATTTATATACATGAAAATTATAATTTCAGCACAACAGCACGACACGAATGATACGAATAAACTGATTTAGTTAAATAGTTCGGTACAAATAGATATGGTTGAAAGCTATACATGTACATATAATATGTTAGTAAATACCTTCAAAAACCGGGAATAGATTTATTTACAGCCGTAAATTTATTAAAAGGATTAAAAATTTGTAAGTTCATTAAGAGAGAAGTTTATATATTTTGAGAATAAAGCAAGGGTATTATCAACAAATATTCTGCCCTGTGGTGAAAAAAGTGTAAGAAAAAAAAATTCTCGGATGGTACAATAGAAGGAAATTCAAACTATTGTGGTATAAGAAAGTTAGAGATTGATACTTTTTATGTTATTATTGATCGTTTAGTTACAGAACTTGATAAAAGATTAAACGCATATCATAATGTTTGTAATATTTTTGGGCTTATTACAAAATTTGGTTCAGAATTATTATCAGAGACTTCTGCCGACATATTCATTAGTACAATTAAAGATGATATTGATACAACTAATATAAAACAAGAGATTGTGCACTTTTCAAATTATGTAATGCAGTTAAATTTACCAATAATTACTCCTCAAAATATTTACTTATATGTACATGAAAATAATTTAAAAGAAGTCTTTCCAAATGTGTACATTTCTTTACGAATTTATTTAACTTTGCCAATTTTGAATTGTGAAGCAGAAAAAACAAATTCAAAATTAGAACTTATTGAAAACGCCAGAAAAACGTCCCTTCACCAAGAAAAATTAAACCCACTTGTTCGTCTATCTGCTGAAAGGGAAATAACTGACACATTGGATTTTTTAAATCTAATTCAGAAGTTTAATGAACTCAAATCTCGAAAGAAACTATTGACTTAAATTTTTATATTTAATTTAGTAAACATTAATAAATAATTAATATTTTTTTATTTTTACCGGTACTTAATAATTATTATTAAATATTATACAACTATTAAAAATTGATTATTGATCTGTAAATAAAACTTTTGTTCACTAATGCAATAATGTTATTTTAATGTTGACTGTAATTTTTAAATTATATTAAACAAATATTAAAGGCCCCTAAAATTATATTGCCCCGAGCCCATATTTCCTAAGTTGGGCTCTGTACATATTATACGATGTTTAATATCAGATCGTATAATATGATATAATTCGTAAATATAGTTTGGCAAGATATAAAATGCTCGCAGGCCAGATGTGGCTCGCGGGCCACCAATTGCCCATCCTAATGTATTATATTACGACGGTTGTCAAGTAACCGTTTCTTTTGAAAAAAAAACAACTTTGTGGAGAACTGACAACACAAATAAAATGTCCCTTATACCTAATTCTTAGTTTATGTATTGTTTTCAACAACCTAAAACATTATTAAGACTTTCCTATGTTTCATTATATTTGATATAATAATGAATAGTGATTTATTAGCTTACAAATTAATATTTAAAATGTTGTATGGTAAGTTCACACATAAAACGTAACTGGTGGCCTGTTACGTACCTAATATGTAAATTTCTGTTCGAAATAAGTTCAGTAACGTATTGATTACTGTGGTTATCACCTCCGATGTGTTTCCTACAGTTCAGATCACCAGTCATACGATCGCCCTATCTCAAAAGACGTTCCTCCAAAATGTGCTATCCACCCTTAAAATCATCCAGGCAATCACAAATTCTGTTCTATCTACAAAGATCTTAAACATCGAAAAATACCAATCACAAAAAGTATTTAACTATGAAAAGTCTAAAAATATATTCACATATGTACAAAGTAACCACCCGAATACTCATTCATTATTTAGTCAACTGATTCCTCGAACGCAGATTTGCGCTCAAGTGACGTCTTACGCTCTGATGCATAATACAGTACATTCCCCTCCAAAACTCAGGCTCCCAATATTAATTAATTAAGAAGCTTCCTTGACAACTTCAAGTCTCTAATAAATCCATGAATAGTTCTTCCTACGAAAGTAATTTTCAGCTTACTTGATAAAAATGTCTAATAATAATAATATTTCTTACTCAGATAATTTTTTACTTAAATTAAAATTCAATGTAAATGATCTAAGGAACCAAGCTCATGAACTCAAAACAGTGCTAAATAATAAACGTATAGATATTATCTTCATCTACGAGTCTCACATTACTTGTAATGAATATTTAAGACAGGTTAAATATTAATACAATTTATTTTACAAAATTATATTTACAATTACAATATTGTACTCAACATTAAATAAAAATTTATATTTTAACATTTATAGAACAATATTATATTTATTCAGTTGGATTTCGACAGCCGACCGTACAATACGTGTGTTCCCGCGGTATCATTTCATAGCTCTCCGATAGCACGTACCTATTTTACGGCTAGCGTACAGCAGATAATATGATTAAATGTACGTTTAATCACATTACATAACGCGTACAGCTTTATATAATATAACTTTGAATAAAACGCCAGGTAATTCGCCCAAAAATAATTCTAATAGACCAAACACTCTCAATCATAAGCGTGCGCACGGGATAGTCATGGTAGGCACTTGACTACTCTGCGAACTTTCCTCTCACAATATTCAATATTATTATTTATTATTATGATAATTGATAGTCATTTTATAACTTAGATGTGACTATGAATATATACGTAATATGTATATGTGTGTGTAATGTGTTAAATATGACTATCCTGCCAGGAATTCTGTGCACGCTTATGCTCTCAATACAAAACCTAAATATAATTCATCGGTCGTATAAAAAAAATGTTTCTACACCTTCTTAGATTAGCGATAATAAGCAGGTCATAAACACTATTGCAGCTCACGGAACCTAAGCATTAAATAAAACATACACAAAATTTGGTCTCGAAAACATAATTCCTGCCGAAATCCCTTTATGTCTACACTGGTCCTTCACAATGAATATCAATCTGGACCCGCACACATTTCTCAAAAAGTCAACATGTTTTAACACATTCACAAATCTATTCAGGGAAATCTCTCTCTTTCTCAAACCCATACACAAATACATACGGACGCATCTCTTTCGGAAGGTTGAGTTGGAATGGTCATCATTCATGATGACAACCAGATCCAATGGAGACTTTCTATTTAAAAAGTTTAGGTTTTTTTTTTTTGTAGTTTTAGCCATTTAAATTGTGATATATGCTATTTAGAAGAAGACTTGAGTTTTGACTAAGCAAATAAATATTTCACAACGATTTAAGTCCTTTAATTTAATAAATTATTAAACAAATAAAATATACTGAATTGAAATATTAAACAACTAATAAAATAAATAACTCAATTGAATAAAGCATTTCTGACATGAAACTTCAAGGAAAATTCTCAAGTACTTATGTCTAACCAGACGAAGGGATAATATCCAGTTTTTCTGAGAAATTTTACAAGAAGGGTTTGTCTTAAAAATCGTTAATTTATATTATAATCAAACTAATTTTTCAAAAAATTAAACCAAACAGTTACTTAGTAAAGTAAAGTTTTTTTGTTCTTTTCCTTATTTTTCGAAGCGTATAACTAATAAATAAACCGGGAAATAATTAATTTTGTGTAAAAAATTCGTTCAAAAACCATTTATTTGATATTTATTTTGATAATAATTATTATTCGTACTTAAACATTTAAAAATGTATTATAAGAATAATTTTCTAATATTTTTAATAATACTTTTTTAAGTTTCTAAAAATATCTAAACAATGCCGATTTTTTTTTTTTTTTTTTTGATACTTATAGATATAATTAAATGTTTTAAAATTTTGATTTATTTTTTTTTATGTTTTTTTTTGCTCGATTTTGAATTTTATTGTTTGAAGTTTTAATATAAGTACGTAAAATAATAACGTAATATATTTCGAGTTATTATTAGATAAAATATTAGATATTCAATGTTCAGATATAAACCATTAATTCTTATACACTGTCATACAGTTGAAATTGTTTTTTTTCAAATATTTGGCATAAATTACCTACATATGTACTAGTATACGAACAATATCTTACATCATTACTGATTTTGACGATGTTGTCAATATTTAATTTATTATATTTTTTATGATAGCTATTAAAGACGAATAGTCATTTATTGTTCATAAAAACTCTCAGAGGTGGAAATAAATATATTCATTTATTAATTTTATTTTACTAACTCAATTACCTTAATAAAACATATACACTAATTGTAAGTATATACTTCTGCCTATTCTATTTGTAAGAACTCAAACCCAGTTATATTATTTTTTATTTCATTTAATTTAATAGATACTTAAGAATTGATTGAATGTATATCATATTTGTCCTTTATATTCCCATTTGAGTGCTAAACACTTTTTGATTGATATTAGTGTATGAATATTTTAACAGATCAATGAATATATCGCCTTTAATGTCATTTCCGAAAAAACAATGATTATTAATATTAAATTTACGAAATGTTTGGATTTAGTGAGTTATAATTTCACACGTTTCAAACATATACGTATAATAT